TGATGAGAGCTTTAAGGCTAACTGTACAAGCTGGCACAAGAAATTTGAAAAATCTATTCACAGCTGGCAAATTTTCCTACATTTTTATATAACATTATTATAATAACTAGTTATGTTCAAACAACTAGGATTAAATGAAAAAAAAAAAATTGAAAGATTCAACAAGTTCACAAGAATAATTATCTTTGAATGATCCGATAATTCGATAGAGATTCTTTATTGTATTATTCAAGAGGTCTTGAGTTTGGATCTCTTCTTAATTACTAATAACCACAAAAGCTCTTATCGGTCGATAATTCTAGAATCTCGAGAGATTTATTGAGGTACGTGTAAACTGATCTAAACACTTTAATTAATTTAAAAAAAAAAAAAAAAAGTTCACATGACATCCGATGCTTGTACGGTTGTACCATGTAGCATGTGCAAGTCTTTTAAATGATGAGATCACAAGGAGGCTTCATGGATACTTCATGCCATTAATTTGTTATTGTTTCTAAGTAATTAATTTCAACCATAACATGATTACAAGAAAATATGGAGTCGGTGATCTAACCATAACTATTTCTTTATATTGCTGTGCTTTGGCCCAAGATTGAAAGCAAAATAGGATAAACCCATCCCCAGATGATGAGATAGATTATACATTATATTTAATATATATAGTTGCTCCATGCCTCCATCTCATCATAAAGTAACATTTACGTAGCACTCAATAAATTTTTGTCTAAAACCTCATTTTCTTGACTTTGTAAAATCCTCAATCTCTCTTCTGGCTGGCTAATATAATGAAATAAGTCCAACCTTAAATTAAAGAAATAATAAAATTAGCGTAGCGAACAGACTTTAAACTTTATTTTCTCTTTACTGAAATTAATCAGTAGTCAGTAGGTGCCAGAGTGCAAAGCTGCAGTTAGCCTGTCATACGCGTTAAACAAGCTAGAGTATCATCAAAAAGGCAGCGATGAAATTCATCTTACGAACTTTTAATATATTTTTTTTCAATAATCAAACTATAGGAAGGATAAGTTGATATATACAATCTGCCAGACGATACGGGACAAACCTATTATCAAATACAAATTGAAGCTACCACAACATGTTCCCCACCTAATCAACCAAACTCCATATTTACTTAAAAGAAGTGTGTATAATCGTATTATTAATTTTGAAGACAATATAGATATACCATATATTATGCTGTGTTTCTTTCTTAACGTTATAATGAAAATGCCGGTAGAAGAGGCATCACGCTCAAGCTTAACCATAGATGTTGTTAAGATCTTGATCGTCGGTAGCGAAAGGTTCATTTCATGAAATCACTATATATTCTATTAATTAATGGTTGCCTTTCTGTGGTCCGCCAACTACTACATACCGTATCGCTCCTAAACCTATAATATTAAATCAATTGTAACAATTAAATTTGCAAGAGAATAAAAACTACTTATTTGTTTTTTATGTCTCGGCTCTGGCTTCCAACACGTGATTCTCTTTTCCCTTCTCTCATATATATATAGCCCATTGGAATTTGGAATTTTTCTTTCATGACTCATCACAACTGAGCGATTGTCAACGTTTCCGCCCCCCCCTATACAACTAAATGACTAATTAACATATTTTATGGGAAACTAAAAATAAAAGGACAAAACTATTTTAGATGGTTGATGATAAAAGAGTAAAAAGAGAATGTAATATAATTTTTATAGTTTGAGTTCTCTTTAGATTAAAAAAAGTAAAAGAATGATCTAATATGGTTTTTCAAGAGGAGGGTTTAAAATAGTTTCTCAAGTTTCAATCTTTTTGAGACTAAAAGAGCAAGAGAAAGATTTAAGATGGTTTTTCAAGTTCAAGTCTCCACGGTTACTAATAGGGGTGACCATTGAAACTCTTTTATGGGAAACTAAAAATAAAAGGACAAAACTATTTTAGATGGTTGATGATAAAAGAGTAAAAAGAGAATGTAATATAATCTTTATAGTTTGAGTTCTCTTTAGACTAAAAAAAGTAAAAGAATGATCTAATATGGTTTTTCAAGAGGAGGGTTTAAAATAGTTTCTCAAGTTCCAATCTTTTTGAGACTAAAAGAGCAAGAGAAAGATTTAAGATGGTTTTTCAAGTTCAAGTCTCCACGGTTACTAATAGGGGTGACCATTGAAACTCTTTTCTAGTGGATAATTTCAGAGTCTTGAAAGATTAATTAAAGTATGTGTAAACTGACTTGGATACTTTATTTAAAAAAAAAAAAAAAAAAAAGACAGGTAGAAAAATCCAGCTGGGCAGGTGGAAAGAAGAACCACATAATCGTGAAAAATTCGGGCCTGATGTGGGTAAAGCCCAATTCAGGGAAGCAAAATTTGAAACTTTAAGCAGCGTTAGGCCCGGAGAGTTTGTATTTCTAATACCATATTGATTGCCACGATCAGTACTTAGAACTTAGTTGCGTAGTTGTATTCTATTGGCATGTATTATTGATATAGACCACACAACAAACGGGCTATTTCATCCCTGTCCAGAGTCTATTGTAAAATTATCTTGACAGATTGAGATTGAGCATCCGATGCAATATTGGTATCAAGACGTTGAGGCTACACCTTCCGAATTTAAAACATGCTTTGTTCAGCTGGCTAGCCTAGCCTTGGATATTCCCCATTAAGTAGTCAACACTATGAGTTGTACTTCACTGGTTCATTTAAGCCACACACCTTATTCTGCATATGGTTCTTCGCCAATCGTTTCTTTCCTCTTCCCAATTGTTTATTTGTTTTGAATTTTATGCTTTTATCTATTCTGTCGTATGCTTAAGGTTAGGTGAGGTTAGGCTATGGCCACTCTAAGTTCACTTTATGATTCTGAGTTTGTCAATAAGAAATAAAAGTTGCTGTTCCACTTTCACATTCTTGTTGGTTGTAATGTAATCATAAACAACCAGTAACTTGTATGCAGTTCACTTCCCACTTTAAGCCATAAAAGTTATCCGTCACTGAATTTTATGGGTTAACGGTTTACTTTTTTACAGTAATGAGTTTAATTATACGCTCTCACGTATCATTCACAAATTTTTGTATTTTATCAGTCCAATCATATTATTTATGAACTATATGCCTCAAATATTTTATTCGAAAATTATTTTCGTATTTAAAATTTTTACAAATGTATTTTTTAATATTTACCGTATTATACTTGTAAAATTCTCGTACCCTTTTTTTGTTGTACCTGTATTTACTAACTAGGGTGAGTTTCTGTTATAGACTATAATTTGAATCATGGTTGTATTATTTATTTATTTTATTTGTTTGGAGTTCTAGTTCGACTTTAAATTTTAGTTTTGTTATTTGTTTGATTTGAGATTATAATTTAATTTTGGCTATATATTGTGTTTGATTATGGAGACTATAAATTGAAATTTTGAATTTCAATTATATATTGTGTTATATTATTAGGTCTTATGTTATTGGTTAATTAAATACTTTGCATTTGAAATGCTATATTGATTTTAATCGGATGGTCCATGAAAATTGTTAAAACCAAGATTGATATTGTCTTATTTTTCAAAACGTATTATTGATAATGTGCCGTATTAAACCCATACCATATTTTTCTCGTATCCGAATTTTATGGCTGAATTTTTATAAATATATTTTTTACTATTTACCATATCATACTAATAAAATTTATGTACCCTCTTTTTGCTACCATATGCCTTCATTCCACAAAGTGGAATTGAATGATTTTAAATTATAATGGTTCTGGATAAATTTACCTAAAATTATCTTAGCACCTAGTGGACAGATTGAGACTGAGCATCCGATGCAATATAGGTATCAAGACGTTGAGGCTGCAGTTTCCAAATTTATAACATGCTTTTTTCAGCTGGCAAGCCTAGCCTTTGTATATTCCTTATTAAGCAGTCAACATTATGAGTTGTATACTTCACTGGCTCACTTAAGATCGAAAAGAAAAGAAAAAAGAGGAAATATTTATAATAATGTTATGTGACATTGTAATTTATTTAAGAGCTAACAACAAGCCACCATTTTAGTAGCTTTACACAGACCCGACTAATAAGTCAAGCTCAATAACCGTCATTAATATTCAACTAATAAAAGGTGATTGAACGAAACATCTACTACTTGCGGAAAAAATAATGAGCTTATGACATGCTACAACCATTAAAATGGCCCGTTAATAAGTTATAAGTCCTTTCTCAAATCTCAATCAGGGCAACTAATAATGAGTAGATGCTGCACTGTGATGAAAATGGAATTAAACAACCACATCTCCAGTCAGAAGCCCCACACCTTATTTTGATTTTTTCATATGGTTCTTCGCCTTTCCTCTTCCCAATTTTTTATTTGTTTTGAATTTTATGCTTTTATCTATTCTGTGGTATGCTTAAGGTTAGGCTATGGCCACTCTAAGTTCCCTCTATGATTCTAAGTTTGTCAATAAGAAATAAAAAATTGCTGTTCCACTACCACATTCTTGGTGGTTGTAATGTATGTTTAATGGGCTACTTAATAGCCTTTCTCTTCCACTAGTTTTCGACAACCCATAACTTGTATGCAGTTGACTTGCCACTTTAAGCCAATAAAAAGTTACCCATCACTGAATTTTATGGGTTAACAGTTAACTTTTTATACAGTAATGAGTTTCAATATCCATGGTATTACACGGTTACGAATGCTATACTGGTTCTGGATAAATGTACCTAGAATTTTCTTGGCTGAATGGGAATTTGTGACAAGTCACTAATACCATAGTTTAGAAGTAATATTCTTACGAATTTATAGGTACCTAAAAGTTAGTGGTATGGANTATTTGCTTGATCTTCGAAATATTATGTAATTATTTACTGTGATTTTTTTTAGGTGATTGCTGGAATTTTATTTTTTTAATTTCTAATTTTTGTAGGAGGCTATGAGCTCAGTTTGGAATTTGGATAAACTATATATATGTTAGGGTTTTGGCCCTTTTGGAGGGTTTTTTTATTTTTTCATTAGAAAATATTATGTGAAATAATCTTTTGTTATTAAATGCCTTTTTCTTGTGTTATTTTAATCAATAGTATTGGTACTATGATGAAGAGACCCCATTCAGAATTTCATTCTTATTTTGATTTCTATAAAATCAGATGAAAAAATATGGATATTGTTCTAGAGCTTTTGTTAGTTGAGTTTCATGCGAATTAAATCCTCCAGGCGAATGCCTTGTACGCCTCATGAAATTTTGGTTGCCATCAAATGGAAATAAATTTTCAATTTTTCAGAATCTGTTTTCTTAGTGGAGTGGGAATTAAAGCTTATTTTGCTTTTTTTGGGTTTTTGAAACGTTTGGTCGTGCTGGTTGATGAGATAATCAAAGCTGTTTTTCTATAATTCGTGGTTTGCTTGAGGTCAAACGAACTCAGGATGGACCTGAGTTTGAGTTTTGCTCTTGAACTATTAACTTGATGATATGGTACTGTGATTAGCCCATTCTCATCTTTCTATGATGAACCTTAGTCTTCATTTACAATAATCTCAGAATAATATAATTTTCTATGCCCATCAGGCTACACCATTTTTGGCTGGACTTGCAGTTGCTGCGGCTGCGCTTGCTGGCAGATATGGACTCCAGGCTTGGCAAGCATTCAAGGCCCGGCCACCAAAACCTAAAATACGCAAGTTCTACGAGGGTGGTTTCCAGCCTACGATGACAAAGAGGGAAGCTGCTCTTATCCTTGGTCTTAGGTAACCATGACGCTTTCGTTGAAATGTTCAACATAGATTTAAATTAAACAATGATATGAACACATCACTTTAGTTTGCATAAATTAAAGCGACTTTTGGTGAAGCACAGATTTCTGGGGCATGCATGAATCATGATCATCATCGATTTACTTATAGATTACTTTCTGTTCTTCATGCATCCAAAGTTTATTGTTTCTCCGGTCACATGATTTGACAGGGAGAATGCAACTCCGGACAAAGTCAGGGAAGCGCATAGGAAAGTAATGGTTGCAAACCATCCTGATGCAGGGGGCAGTCATTATCTTGCCTCTAAAGTTAATGAAGCTAAAGATGTAATGCTCGGCAAGACAAAGGGCGGCGGGTCTCCATTCTGATAACATTTCATTTGCATAAGTTTAGGCAAACTGTGTACAGAAGTAACAATGAGTGTCCGATCCTTTTAAGGTATTTCATTTATATTATGCGATGTTTGCCAATGTGTTGAAGTTTCTTTATCAAATTGGGCAAAGAATTTGAGTTGCCAACGGTTGTTTGGACCTTGCAAAGTTGGCCTATTGACAACTGACCGAACAACCCCTGCCGCCGCAGATAAATGTGAGATAATTGTTTTAGCAAATTTACGAGTTATGGTTGTGTGGGGATGATAAGAGGGAGTCCTTGGAACCTATTTACCCAAGCCATAGCTTTATTTTATTATTTACAATACCCAGCATTTGGTTCAGAAAATATTGTATTACAAAAAAGATAGGATTATCAGTGAGATAAATTACTTTGGAGATTAAGGGGAATGTTATATTATTAATTAATATGCTTGATTGGAAAAAATAAAAGAATTGTGGGAGACCTTTTACTAAATTGCATTTTTTTTAATATTATTATTATTATTTAGATTATTACTTCTAACCCCTTAGTGTTTGAGAATTTAGCTAAAACACCTTGTCACAATAAAAGTTTAAAATTCTATAAAATACTCACAATCACCCAAGACAACAGGTGGCCACGACTGCGGGTCGCTATCAGAAGTGGCCTGAACGGTGCATGATCGGTTGGATATGATCGACCATGCACTGATCTGGTCGTTTCCGGCTAGAGTGTTAAATTTTAAACTTTTATTGTGCTTTAAGTGTTTTAGCAGATTCTCAAATATAGGAGGTCATAGAAGCCATCTTGTAAAGTTAGGCTAATTGTTATTTGACAGACATACGAGGGCATTTGTGTTTGGAATGTTAATTAATTAAGGGTAAAATGGGAACACAAATTGGATTACTCAAATAATCTTAAAATAACATTTTTTTTAGGTAATTAGATTACCTCTAATATCACATTCAGTAATCACTATTGGTATGAAAAGATTATCAGAATGTTTTATTACAAACAACCAAACATGGTATATTTATATTTTATGATAGGTTACCGAAATAATCTTTTATTATCGCTAACCAAACAACCCTTACATGTTTTTTTTTTTTTTTTTTTTTTTTTTGGAAATAATAATACGCATAAATGCCTCATTAATGCATGAAGATAATTTGTGAGTTCAGTATGTGTTTTGGATATAAAACCATATGCCATCAATTATATAACATTAAGAAAAAGAAAAATGCTAGAGGTACAAAGACTCTTACAAAGTGATGTGGCAGTTGCTACACCACTAGTTTGATATCAATCTTCTCTTTCTTTTTATAAACTAGTGGTATGACAACTGTCACGTCACTTTGTACAAAGACTCTTTATCTTATACATATAGCATTTCTCTTATGAAAAATTAAGATTTTGTGAATTGGTAAAACAAACTCTCATTGTGATCCAAGTTGGTGAATTGGGAGCCAGAGAGAAGAACATGCTGACTCCATGAAAGTATGTAGTTACCAAAATAAATAAATAGTTTTGGTAATTAAATTAATTATTTTATAAAAATAAATAATATAAGAAATTTCCATTTCCATTTTCGATATACTTGATTTAAAAACCGAATAAAAAAATCATATGAAGCCAAAGCGTTAGCATTCACCAACAATTAAGCAAATCATATAATGCCACGAAGGATCATAAAGATTGTGCGTTGCTGGATAAAGCTAATGGGGCCTTTAACACGTGTCAAAAAATTACTAGTCCATAATACACATGTCAACCTCATGGTTGCCGCCAAGCAAAACTCGTGGATCCATTATTTTTCAAATTTTTATTCCGTCGGTTTTGTTCCGACCAATTATTTTTTGGATATTTTTTTATTAATAACCTAATTATTTTGATTTATTTTCTCCCATATTTTATTGTGGAGGAAAAAAAAAATCCTTTTAATTTATGTAAATGTATGACAATTCTCCCAAAGACATTTCAATAATAATTTGAAACTAATTATATGATTATGAACAAATTGAATTATTCATATACAAAGTCAACTGTTAAAAATATATATTAAAGTTCAATTATTTTCTTTTATATTCAATGGAAGAATAATTTTAATTTTTTTTTCCGTTGACATTAGAAAAAGAAAAAAAAAAGTACCACTCTTGATTTTATTAAACATCGAAGATAAGATCAGAATTAGAGAAGGTTCACTATGATTTCTTTGCCTCTTAAATCAATATATTATCCTTCTTATATATTTAATCAAAATATGGATATATTTTTTTATGATCTAGGTATCCAAATCACTTTATGCGTATCTCAGTTAATCTCTCAAGACGTTAAAAAATACCAGTCAGGTAAGAGCTCTAATGACTGTTTCTATTAGTAATCAAGAAGAGACTAAAACTCAAATAATCCATTGGGATCCCGAAACTATTTATCGGTAAGAGTTCTAATGGTTACACCTATTAACAACTAAAATGGGACTCAAACTCAACTAATCTTTCGAAACCTTGGAACTACCAGCAGGTAAGAGTTTCAATGGCTATCTCTATTAGCAATCAAGGAAGGATTCAAACTTAAAATCTCTTAAGTAATTTATCAAAGGATTTTTATCGAATCATTCAACTACCTAGAGACAATTAATTTTTTATTTTTTCTATCTTAATTATTTTTAAAACCATGAGATTTACCCATATTTTTGAATAATGTAATCTTTTATTTTCATTCTAATATTATTAAGATTCAGTAACCATACAAAGTTGAGATCTTAACTATACAATCAATAATGTATTAATAAAATAAACTTTACACGCTTAACATTATCGTCTAAATAGGTATTTAAATATCTTAAACATAAGATTTTCCTTACACTAACAAGGTAGTGACACGTAACCGCCGTTTAGACTCTTAAAAACGCCGAAGAGGTGCACCCTCCTACTAGACCTTACGTCAGCTTCTACTTCTATCCGTCCACCATCCTCCATTATCCAAACATTTATTTATTTATTTATTTTATTTTACTTCAAAAACTATTTATTTCTTATAATTATTCCATTTATAATTTGAAAAAAAAAAAAAAAACAACACTAAGGGCTCATTCTTATTCTGTTATTCATCTTCTTCCCTCACCATATATTTCACACTCAAACCATAAACTGTCCAATTTTATTTTATTTTTCATTTTTCCGCAAATTTCAGGATCATGCTAAGCTTCACAGCTTCTCATTCTCAATAACACGGGAGTTAAAGAGAGAAAATGGATTGATTTGTTTTTGATTGAGCCAAAAACGAAATGAGATGAACATGAACTCGATGCTATTGACTTCCTGTTCCTACGGTTAGGGTTTTATCATTCAGATTCGGATTCAATTGCGGCACCGCTTTCTCGTCGGCTTCTACTTATCGCAGTCACTTGTAATTTTGTTCTTTTAACTGGCTTACTAGCTTTTTGATGATTTGTATGGACATGTTTAGTACGTTTTGTGAATCTGTGCAGAAATCTTGTTGAATTGTTTGTGAGGTTTTTGAGATACTGAGGAGTTATTGTTGTGGTTGTTGATTGTAGTAATGTTGAGTGCGAATGATCCAGTTGAGTCGTTTTTTAATTCGATTCAACATTTGAAAGATGCAATTTCGCCGCTCGAATTAGGTATTAGAAAAGCGGCCAAAGATCTTGAGAGTTGTATGGCAGTTCATAAGAGGAATGGAAACAATCTTGAATTGAATGGAATTGGAAAGAGCAGTAGCAAAATACAGATCTCTTCTGTGAAGAAGAAAAGTAATGGTATTAATAATAATAGTATTAATAATAGAGATGCTAATAGCGGTGGGCAGTGTGTGGTTAGTGAAGAGAAGAAGAAAGGATTGTTGTCAATTAAGTCGCCAATGAAGACATTTTTAGGACTGTTTTCACCAAATTTAGGGAATGGGAAAGTTGGGGTGGTTTCAAAGAAAGGAGTGAAAGAGAGGGATTTGGATAAGGGTGATGGGTCTTGTATGAACTGCTTGCAGTTTGCGGTTACTTGGTCTTTGTTGGTTAATGGTTTTGTTCAGGCTTTGCCGAGTCCGTTTAAAGGGGGCAAGAAACGGATTCAGAAAGTTGGGGATGAAGATAAAGGGCATTTGAGTTCACGTGCATATGGTCTGAAATCTAAGGTTTTTTGTGAGTTTAAGCAAAGGGAAGCCAAGAGTCAGTCTGTAAATGTGTATAAGAATGAGAGCGTAGCACATGAGGGGAAACATGTATCGCTTGAGTGCTTTATTGGGTTTATATTTGATAGTTTGATTCAAAACCTACAAAAATTTGATCAGCTTATGCAGGAAAGTGATCAAAAGGGTTGTGATTATTTGGAACCAGCCTCGACCTTGCCTCCGTCTTCTTCTCAGTTTGATCATTGGAAGGCAGTTATAAGTATTTGGGAATGTAGAAAATCTGATGTTAATGGATTTTTGGGGAACTTGAAGTTCGCGAGAGTGGGAGGTCTGCCTTCTAGTATAGTTGGGGTAACTTCTTCGGTCAATGAAGAGGGTGAAGATGGTGTTAGTACAGCCAGTGGGGAAGAAACAGGGGGTAATTCACCGCAGAAGCTGGCCGGTGGGATACTTAGTATTCCTCTATCAAACGTGGAGCGTTTGAGATCCACATTATCTACTGTTTCATTGACAGAACTGATTGAGCTTTTACCACAATTGGGGCGATCTTCTAAAGACCATCCAGACAAGAGGAAGCTATTCTCTGTCCAGGATTTCTTCAGATACACAGAGACTGAAGGTATGGTTTCTCATGCAGCTTGGTAGTTTATTCAATGTTGCTTTATGTTTTGTTTCTAATGTTTTACTGGGAACATACTAAACATCGAAACCTGTGAAGAAGTCGTGAAACTATACCATGGTAGAGTTTCATTGCTTGAACTGAAGGGTGCTGGGTGTTTAATACATAGCATAGGCTTATTTTTCTTAGGATTTAATAACTTTGTTTCATTTATAGAACCTATAGTATTTCTGGTTGTTTGTTCTTTGATTGAGATGAAAATTTAAGTCTTTGTCTATACAATCATCTACAGTGATAACTTATTTTTTAACCCTTATATTTCCAACAGGAAGGAGGTTCTTTGAGGAACTGGATAGAGATGGTGATGGCCAAGTGACATTAGAAGATCTTGAAATTGCAATGAGAAAGAGAAAATTGCCACGAAGATATGCTCGGGAATTCATGCGCCGTACCAAAAGACATCTATTTTCAAAATCATTTGGTTGGAAACAATTTTTGTCGTTGATGGA